TGCAGACATGTGGGTTTGCCGCTGGAAGGGAGCGTGTTTTCCTAACCAGAGAGTGTCTGGCACAGCTGCGAACGCAGAATGGGTGTCCCCGCTGTGAGCTGAAAGGTGGGATAGCTTGCTGTCTGTGCAGGCTGCAGACCAAGCTGTGAGGACAGGTGACGTGAGGGTCAGCAGAGGCATCGTTCAAGGGTTGGAGTCTTCTCTAGGCGCTCCAGAAGATGCAACAGGACTGTAACGAAGGGATGAAAGGTGATTTATAGGGAGGCTTTGCACTGGGCAGGCTTCCAGGGCTGCCTCTTTCCCCGAGTTGTGCAGCACAGCAATGGCCGTGGGAGAGAAGTGCCCTCCAGTGGATGCAGCCTCTCCCTGGCCGAGCCGTCCAGGAACAGCCAGGGACAGTGTGGGCTGCGGGAGGAGATGTGGGTGCCCAGGAGCCCCCTGCCCTGCAGTGCTGCCTCTCTCCTTTCCACCCTGCCAACGTGGAGTGTCCTCTCTCACGGAAGGCTGGAGCTGGAGAGGGCACCGTGGCCCTTCCTGCTGCCACCTCTGGTGTTGCCACCCCTCAGTGCAGGTACAGCAAGAAACAACAGCTCTGGTGATTTTCTTTTCTTTTTTATTGGTAATATTTTAAAGGAACACTTGGCATGAGTGGGAGAAACAGGAGGGAGCCCAAACCGGTAACATCAGTGTTGCCACAGGAGAGGCCAGTTCCTGCCCTCATGAGGACCATCTGGAGCAGTGTGTGCCCTCGAGGAGGCTGGAGGCCTCCTTGGGGCCGGGGGCCCTTGCAGCCCATTGTCCTGTGGAACAGGATTCAGTGGGATGAGCTCTGTCACCCTCGCTGGCACCAGCCCATGGGCGCATCGCCCTGGCTGCGCGCGGTGTTGACTTACCCTTTGGCCCCCGTTGAGACGTATGCAACTTGGAGCAGTATGACAGGGCAGAGGGCAGGAAGGCATTTTAGTAGATAGGGCTTTTTTATTGAGTTATTTTTGTTTGGTTTCATCGCGTTTTTTTTTTGGGGGTGGAAACGGTCACAAGAATCGCAAGCTTGGAAATCTTAGTGCGTTATGAAAGTAGCTGCCCTTGTAGTTCCCAGTTGTGAGAGCTAAGGGAAAGCCCCAGGGGGTGGTTGTGTGTGTGTGTGTGTGTGCAGAGGTTTGTGCAATGGGAATTCTCTTCCCTGCTGCATGCGGGAAGAGAAGCAACCTCGAGAGACGGGTTCACGCGGGATGTCCAAAGCAGCGTCCCGCTGCTTTGGACATCCCGCGTGAACCCGTCTCTCGTGGTTGCTTCTCTTGAGGTTAGTCCCACTGCACCAAGTCTGCTAGTGCCTCCTGACTTCATTTATGGGACATGCTCCTCTCCGCAGGGCTGCGGGAGCAGGGAGCGTTTCCAGGAGGAGGGAGCACTGGTGCCCGCTGCGCCCTGAACGCTGCCTGCCCTTGAGCAATCACGTGAATTTCCAGTTATTTCAGTTTTCACTTGTATTTCAATTAAAACAATCATGCCCCAGAAAATGTATTCCAAAACTTCTATCGCTTGTAGACTTAGCTAATGGTCTAAATTTACTTGTTTTTCCCAAATATTTTGATGTATATGGAGAAAAAAATAATAACTTCTATCTGAAAAGCGTTTCATATAGTCTCTGGATCTTAGTACAGGTGGGGTTTGTAGCCTTTATTTCCCTCACACCTTGTTCTTAATTCATTTTAAAATTCAGTTTAACTATTTCTATTTACCGGAAAATGTCTTATTCTGAATCTAAAACTATTAAGATTCTCAAGTGTTAATGACTAAAAACCTCAGGGACCAGCAGCATAGTTAAATTTCACTATTTAGGACTTGGTTTTCAGAGGTCCAATTTTTGAGATTCCATTAAGGAGACTGACAGCCTGGCTGCTCAGGAGGAGCTCTGAATACCCCTGGCCTTTGATTGCCTTTGATTCAACCATCAGACACCTGAGGTCTCTGGAATTACCACCTTTTTTGGCATGAAAGAAGCTCTTGTTTCTTTCCCAGGTGTTTCTCCGACCACCCAGCTGGAGCTTTGTTAGCTGAGGGCTGGCACCCCTCCGGCTCTTTCAGTTCCTCTACGCTGGGAAGAATTCATGAAATAATCATCCTCGAGCCTCCCTGCCTTCTTTTCACCATGTAAGGATTTGGGGAGCTTCCCCCCGACCTCCCACTGCTGCAGCAGCCCTTGCCCTCTGCCCTGGTGCAGGAGTGATCCATCCTGAAGCCTGCAGCTGCCGTGGGTGGGTTGGAACGGGTCTCTCTTCCCTTTTGTGCGCTTGCCCTGAGGTGGGTCTGAAGCTGAGACAAACCCTGGAGCGGAAGGAGCCGGGCTCACGTTAAGTTGAGCCTCGTAAGTTGAGCCTTGTCAGCACCTCCGGGTGCAGTGGGGCACGGAGCTGGTGCGGCAGCCCTGCGGTTTCTGCCTGCACTGAGGTTTTTCCCTGGGGATTTCGCCTGTTTTGGGTGCCCGGTGTGCAGGGAGCACCCGAGCAGTGATCAGGGCAGGGAGCGCCCGTGCTGTCATCAGGGCACAGGCTTCTGTCTCTTTGAAAATCAGTAGGTATTTTGACAGTTCAGCTTCCAGAAAAGCTTTAGAGCTATTGCCAGGTACCTTAGACTTCCTGCAGCTTTCCAGGAATTCACATGGGGAACACGACAGCAAGCTTTCATAGTGCCTTGGTGTGCTCAACTAGAGGCTGCAGGGACGCTGGTCTGCCAGCTTCTCCAGAGTAGAAGGCAGGCCCACTACCACTCTGGGCAGGCCCAGAGTAGACCTGCATCTCGGCTTCCTTCGATTTGTGTTTCCTGGCCTGGGAATGCAGCAGGCTCTTGTCCTTTTCTCCCCCAGCCTGGAGTATTGTGCACATCTCTTCTAAAGCAGGGCCTGGAAGAAGGCAGCAGGCATTTCCCTTTGGCAGCTTGTTTCATGAGCACTTGGAGCGAGCCAAGGAGGCTTCCTGGGGCGTGAAGCAGCGTGGCAGAAGAAAGGCTCAGGGGCTGAGAGGCCTTTGGGCTCTCCTTGGAGCTTTCCTTGGAAAGATGCGTCACGTGGCAGCTCCTCAGGGAGTGTCTTGGCCTGGCTTTTCCACTCCACGCTCAGCTGAAGCAGTGACTAAGGTGGTTTCTGTCCAGTTAAATGTTTAACTTAGTCTGTTCATCAGCGCCTGAGCTCACTTGTCTCACCGTCCCGCCGTTTGCTGGGATTTGCAGGAGGGAGCTGCGTGGGCTTGATGGAGCTCTTGGACCCCATGGAGATCACTGTGGTGAATGCTATTTTTAAAGCACATGGGCTGTGAGCAGCAGCCTGTGTCCACTCCTTGGCTGAGCTGCCTATGTGAAGTATCAGCTGCCATGGTCCAGGGGGTGATGGTGAAAGGACTCTATTAAAGTATTTATGTCTGCGGACTTTAAGGACATCTGCTGGTCATAGCAATGACATGAACACTTTTGTCTGGGGCTGAATCACTTTGTATGGACTCTTTATTTATGCACTTACATGTATGTGTATAAATTAAATAACGTGAATGTTGAGACTTTGCCCAGCATAGAGAAATGCTGCCTATCTGTGCAACCCCTGAGGTGTTTGCAAAAAAGCCCTGGCTGGAGCCTTCATGCCAAAATCCACTTGCCTCATGCTCCTAGGGATACTGCCTCAAATTCTCCATCCCTGGAGTTAACATTTCTTTCTCTCTCCACAAATAAGAGGTCACCTACTCCCATTGCAGAGCCCCTGTCTCCTCTCAGGAGCTCCCCAGCCTTTGAGTCTTTGGGTAGGGGTGAGCGGCAGGAGAGGGATTTTTGATCTGGACGGAGAAAACCGTGTCTTGAGGCACAGCCACAAAGCTTGGATCTCTACTTTAGCAAACTGTTTAATGGTATAATTAAGTGAAGCTACAAGCTCGTGGATTAGAGGCTACTTTTTTATATAACGACATATTTGAAATTGCCTCTGGGGAATCTGAAGAGCTTTTGAAAAATTAAAAAATTCCTGATCTCTTAAAGTTGCAACGTTGTGGTTTCCTTCAGAGTTTTGAGTTGGTTTCTGCTTTCACTTCCTGTCTTCCACCTGCAGCCTTTTTTGTATTCAAAGCACAGCTATGAGGAGCTGATGCTGCAAAACAGGGTAGTTCTGCACTAGTGCAGGCTCGTGGTGGCTGCCAGTTCGTTTTGCTGGGATTTTTGAGGCTTTCAGCCGTGGTGCTGCAGCCCAGCCGCCGCCGTGGGTGGAATGGGGCTGGTGGGAACACGGCGCCCGTGTTGGGACAGGCCCTGCTCCTGAGGCTGCCCTGCCGCAGGGATCCCCGGGTACAGGTGTGGGGTGTCCCCTCTTGTGTGCAGGTGTGGGGTGTCCCCCCACGTGTGGGGTGTCCCCCTGACGCAGCAACCATCAGCCTGCAGGGCCGTGCGTGCCCAGCTCCCTTTCCTGCCCCCTTCAGCCCTGTGTGGTTTTGTTCGTAGTGTTCCCGACTGCTCTTTCAGCTTTCCTTGTTGTCTGGCTTGTTGTTTTCGCCGCTTCTCTCTTCCCAGCGAGCCTCCCTGGGGGTTATCACTGTCCTCCTCATGTGAGGACAGGCGCTGCAGCGTAACAAGGAGCCTCTGATAAGGCCCAGCCCAACCCTCCCCGTCCATAGGTGCCCGTGCGAGAGGTACTGGAATAACCCCGTGTGGGCCTTGCATACACCCGTGTGCCAGGTGCTTTGGTATAACCATGCAGCTCAGCATTTCACCTAGCAACATGCTGCTGTACACGCAGACCCAGGCAGCAAACCTGCTCTTGGAAGGGGTCTGGAAATCCTGGTCTGTTCAAGAGGGCATTTGGTTTGTCACTGACCTGCATGAGGCCTCCTGGCACCGCTGCCACCTTGTCCACCTCCGTCGTGGTTTGGAAGAGGCAGCCCTCATCGCTGCACGGGCCCCTGAGCACCGGCGGCAGCGGGTGGGCTGATCCTTTAATGCCCTCCGTTCTCACTGCCCTGCAGGACAAGGACGTTGGGACTGAGGCAGAGGGCACTGAGAGCCTATTTGTGGAGTCGCCATGGAACAGGTGAGTTGCAGACGTGACTAAAGTTTGTGTTTCAAACTCAATAGTGATTATATTACATATATTTCAGAATACTTCTGTTACTGTGTATCAAAAAAGTGCCTCATCTCCTCCAGAGTTCCTGCAGGTGCCTCTGGTAGTGCTCTTTTCCTCCAGGAATAAGGCCAAAAAGAAGATGGAATACCTTAGTGTGCAGGCTGCTCCCTTACAGTCTGACACTCTCCTGTCAGGTTGCAAGCTTGAGACACAGCTCAGTTAAGAGACCGCAATGTTTAGTTAAGCAGCACACAACTAAAGCTAATAAATCAGTTAACCAAACTGAGCAATAGGCATACCACTATAATCAGCATAGGATTACATCATTTTGTACAGCATTAAACACAGCTATAAAGCTGCTATTTATTATTCTTAAATCGTGTTAACTGCAAAAGTGCTATTCAAATACAACTGTATTACTCTTCCCCACTCTACAGCAAAGGCAAAATTCTAGGCTTAGGCCTTGTTGGGCCCTCTTGCTGGCATCCATCCCTCTGTGCGCCTGCCAGGCCTCCTGAGCCAGGCGTGGGGCCACGGCCCCACGTGCAGCTCGTGCCCTGCCTGAGGGGGGATGCGGGGGCATCAGATGCTGCTCGGCTGCCTCGTGGCTCTCGCTGCTGCGGGCAGCCGCGCGGCTCCTTAGGGACCCTGCCTACATCCCCTCGGAGAGAGGCATGAGATGTGGTGAGAGGAGGTAATATGGGCTGGCAAAAATTAAGGCTCACGTGGTTAGTTGCGTTTAAATCAAGAGCTGCTGGCTTGCAGTTCAGCATAGGAGGTAGGGTGCCCAGTCCCCAAATACAGGGATAAGACTTCCAAATGCAGGTGCCCACATAGGGAAGTGGATGGTGTGGGCGGATGCAGCTCTGTTTGGAAGGAGCTGCTCGGATCAGAGGTGCCGTCCCCGCTACAGCTGGGAATGGGAGGGAGGCGAGTGCGCTGTTTCACAGTCAGCTCTCTGCCAATAGTGAAAAGCAGTTTCTGTCACCGGTTGTTTCTGGTCTGTAGGAGCACAGCTGTCTAGTGCTCACCCTCGAACAGTTGTGTGTGAGTGAACATCCACCAGCTTACCCACAAACGTGCACTTGCTGCCATTTGTAGGCTTCCCGGCTGACCTTTTTAAAGAGGAGGCCAGAAAAGTGTGTGTGTGCTGTTGGAAAGCAGAGTGTATGCAGACTTATTTCGTGCTACTTCTTTGGGCTGAGCTTAACAGTGGCTGCCTTCTGTTCAGGATATCCACAGCAATGGATCCCGCCGGATGGAGGGCATCCTCCTGTACAACTTCCTGCAGAGCTCCTCTAACTGCGAGTTCAGGGACCAGCTGCAGGCCCTGCGCGGCCAGTGGCTGCTGCCCGCCGTGAAGCCCGTCTGCCACTACGAGGACGACGGGGATCTGCAGACGGACGGCAATCGGAGCGGGCACCTGCAGAACGGGGAGCTGGGTGAGCGCTCCCCTTGCCGCCAGCCTCCGAGGCTGCTGCTGGCTGGTTGTTGCTTGGTCTGCTCTGCTGGCCCCTTGAAGAGTGAATGCCACGGAGAAGCTTCACAGCGTGGCTATTGATGGTGACGCTTGTTGGGATACTTAGGATCATACTGCTCATGCTTAGCACTTTATAAAGTGCTTTAGCACTTTATTTCTCTGTGTGTTTTTGGATTACTTGTCACCCTGGGAGTTTTAGGACACCTGATGAGAGTCCCAAGCAGCGGGACGGTTCTTAAGCAGGGTGAGCCTGTGTCAGGCTGCTCCGTGGAGAGAGTTTCAGAACTTGATCCCTAACAAACAGCCCTAATTCTGGGACTTGGATTTTGGAACAAGATCTTCTTTTGCTCTGGGGTTCATCCCTTTCTTCCCTAAGTGTGGTAGGGAGAGTCTAAGCTGTAACATTGGTAAGACGCAGCCTCGGTCTGCTGAAGAGAAATGCTGTTTGGGAGGGGAGGGGGAGATTCCAGCACTTGAAACCAGCATTTCTACAGGATATTACAACATGACAGGATCTGTGGTGGACAGTTTGCCTCAAACTGAGGAGGGAAATGGAAGAGCTCACATAATTTCTTGATAGCCATTAAGATCTGTGTCTTAAGCACCATCTAAAACACAGCATCTGCATTTAGCGAAGCTTCCCAGTGCTCCTTTGGGACACGAGGCCCATGCAGATTTGGATGGTGGAGGGCTGCGTGCTGTGCAGGTCCTCTTAGCTGTACTGAGGTTAAGGTCCTTGTATCAGGTCACTCATTTTGACCAGGGGAAAACCTTGCTTTGAATGGCGAGGGAAGTACTAGATATCCCTGCAACTGCATGAAAAACTATTTGCACAATTTCTGGGCAAGTTTAGGTTGTTGTGTGGCTGCAGATGACCTATAGCACATCTAGCTGTCACAAACGCCATGTGGGAGAGGGGGCTGGTGGTGATGGCCAGGCTGCCATGAGTCCATTTACCTGCAGTGACCGTAGTTTGGCTGCAGCCTGTGAGCTAAATCCTGCTTTCTGTGTCCGGCAGCGCTCGCCAATGAGGGCCTGAGGGACGAGGAAATCTTCCGGATCATTGGTGCTCAGCTTGCTGAGATCGGAGACCAGTTGGATAAAGAAATCCAAGCCAGAGTAGTAAACGATCTCGTACAGCATTTTCTGAATGAGAATTTGTCCAGAGAGGTGAGTAAAAACGCAGCCTCACTAGTTATTCTCCTTTTGAATGCTGTTGCCCAGCTGTTGCTGTGATTTTGAAGCAACAAGTGGCAACAGCTGCATTTTTGCTAGTTAATTGTTTTAATTGTTGAAGTGTAAAACTCAGCTCCTGTGTTCACCTTTGATGCCAATGTCTGTAAGGGGCAATGCTGTGGCAGCTTTGCAGCCTGCAGCAGCCCTTGCCCTGCAGGGTGGGCTCCTTGGGCTTTCTGTGGATTGGGAAATTGAGGTGGCAAAGACCTTCACAGATGTTTTCTGCCCTCAAGTTGGTGGCATCTTTGAAAAGCAGTATTTCAGTTTAAGCTCAGTAGTTGTCTGAAAGATCTCTGGGAAGGCAGGGATGCTGCTGCCAAGTCCCGTAGATCTGATGGTGGCGAGGTGGGCAATCCTCATCCAAGGCAAGCGGGAACAAGGTGACACTAGTTCCACGCCTGGAGCCTTTCTCTAGCTCTGTGTTTGATGGCTTTTCAGTGCAGCTCACTTTGCCGTCCCCTCACTAGTCCCTGCCTGAACGCAGCGAAGTTCAGGGCTGCAGCATGTGGGTGCCCAGGCCTCTTGGGCCCTGGCAGGGTGTGCGCAAGCCCTGAGGAGGGGTGAGAGTGTGTATGTGTGGGGGGTTCCCTGTGGTGCCCAGAATGTGTACGTGTTGTCTAAGCTCTCCAGCAGCCCAGGGGACATCACCTGTGCCTTGGTCTTGGGTGAGCAGCAGAGCTCTGGGGTAGCTTCCCGCTGCCATACGGGGTGTTCAGAGCCTGCTGTGCTAGGGAGGAACGAGAGGCAGCCCGTGAGGCGCTGGACGATCGTGTTGGTCACCAGCGTGGCGTGCGGAGAGCCCCTTCCCCTACAGCTGCTGCACTGAGACTCCTTCCTTCCATACAGGAGATAACCCGGTGCCTGTCCCAGGCAGTGGAAGGCCTTGCAAGGGCCATCCCCTCAGACATGGAGCAGGAGAAGGCCTTGCTGGTGCTAGCCATGGTCTTAACCAAAAAAGTTGCCAACAGAGTGCCCTCCCTTCTGCATCGCATCTTCAGCACCACTGTGAACTACATCAACCAGCACCTGCACGCCTACGTCGTCAGGATGGTGAGCGCTGTCCCACGGCGCCGCGGCTGGAGGGGCCCGCGGTGTGGGACGGGCTCCAAACCTTGGGTGCCTCTGGGCATGGGGGATAGAGGGGGCTCCGCTTCCCCTTGGACCCTCTGTGTGAACGTGTCCGTGTGCCTGTCCCTCCCCGTCCCCCCCGCGACGTGCCCTTACTGCGCGCTGCAGGGGCAGGGCCTGTCGGAGCTGTGGGGCCAGGCGGGGCTGCAGCCGAGCTGGGGCAGCGTCGGCCGCTCCCCAGCGCGCCCCGCTCGCCCGCTGCCATCGGAGCCTGCGCTAGCGCCGCGCGCCACGGCCCATACCTGCCACGTAGCCAAGTTAGCTCACGAGCAGCCCGTGGCCGCCTTACTGGGGCTGGCCCGGGAGGCCAAGGGGAGGGCGGGAAAAGCCCCTTCAGCTTTGGGAGCTGGGCTGGCTCTGCCCTCAGCACAGACTGGAGCCAGGCCGGGCAGGGGAGCGCAGGACTGGGCGGCAGGAGGGCGAGTGAGAGCAGGGCTCGGAGCTGGCACCCAGCAGAGCTGTGGAGAACTGCGCTCCCCTCGCCCCGCGGAGCCACTTGGGGGCAGGCCGGGACTGGCAGCACTGGGGGGCTCCCAACACCATCAGGTTCCTAACGCCGCCTCTCTTTCCCGCCAGCTGCGCGAGTGAGACGTCGCGGCTCCGGCTGCCTGTGTGAAGACTGCCGCTTCCCAAGGGCTTTCCGCTCTGGATACGTTAGAGTTATCGGAATTGTGAAATACGGCTGTGCAGTGGAGGCACAGCAATGTAGATAGGCTTTCATAGACTAGCACTGCAATGCCAGTATGAGCTGCATGAGGGGCCTACAGTACCTGCAAGGAGTAGTGCTTGCCCTTTGTCAAATAGGTGAGGTGGGTGGGTGTTTTTTATTTTTTTCATTAGCAGACTTAACTGCAGGTGCCTGCAGAGGAAATGCCACAGCCACAGGGCCGGGCCTCTCAGTTTACCCTCTGAGTGGCGCGTTCTGCTTTAGCCACCGCCTTCCCCACGCTGGTGTCGCCGCTGGGGAACGGCACGGGATCGTTCCCTGCAAGACCTTGGCTGTGGAAGGGACGGTTCATCAGCATCGCTTACCAGGGCAGGGGGAAAAACACCTAGACTGCCTTGGAGCGAGCTGGCTGCACCTGGAAACAGCCCTGGGAGAGACAGGGTAAGGAACAGTTGTAATGGTGTAGTCCCAATCCACAGCAGCTCTGCTTGCCTGGGAAAGGCAGCTAAAGCAGAAAATTACAGGGGTAAATCGTTTCAGGGAGCAGTTACTTGGACATGCTTGAGGATAAAAATGTTCTTTAGCTTTAGAATAGCTTGCTGCAAAGGAAAAGGAGCCGTTGCCCATGAACTGGGAAGAATACCTGGCATCTCTGACCACGTCCCTATTGCGTTCACCTCTCAGGGCTGGTGCGCTGTTGAGCAAAAGAAATGACTCAGGTATCACACAGGGTAGCTGAGACTTCATCCAGCTGCCTCAGAACTTTGAGACTGTAAATATACTGCTTTTTTTAAACATAAATAAAGTTGTCATTTCTCATGGCCATGCAGTGCATAAGAGTTTGAATTGCTACTTTACCTGTAAAGGAGTAGTTGTGCTTTGTGCAAGTTCTTACATTCTGTGCACTTCACAGTACTCAGGAGGCAGCTGGCAGCAAGGAGGTGTCTCGAAGCCCCCCTGAGTGAGTGCAATTGCTCATGCAGGTTTTGTTCCGCTGCGCTCTAACGGGGATGGAGGGAAGCACAGAAATAGGCGACACAGTGTTTTTGAAAACTGTACCATTTATTAAAGTGCAACCTGGGGCCATGGTCTTACAGCAGTGTCCCATTGGCAGAAGGAAAAAATATACATACCCCTCCACTTGAACAATGAAGCTGGAAAGAACTTCCTTTGAAAGGTGGAAACACTTTTATTAACCGAATGGCACAAAGAGCTTTAGACAGGTCTCCCCAAGAAGGCTGCAGTGCCATACTGAAAGGAACAATATGACCCGTTCCTTGGGTGACTGGCGACTTCAGGACACGTCAGGGAATCTTCCTTCCACGAGGCCCTTGGGGAGCCCAACCTGCACCCCTGCAGTCCAGCCCCTGGCTGGCTGCACCCAGCAGCAGCCTAGCGGGAGATATCCCCAAACATGAGTCTGTCCCACGAGGCTTCGCTGCTTAACAGAATCTAGTGGCATTCTTTTGGTCTGAGTGGGTTTTAGCCTTGTAACACTCGCTTGAATAAAAGCTTATACTGCAAGTTAAAAATGGGGAGAACCCCCCTAACGATACAGCAATAAGATGCATCCTCTGCAGCTTGTTCTGGCCAAGCCAACAGCGTTCCTTTGCCTCCCCTGCAGATACTGCAGCGAGATTGAGAGCAGCTTCCACTGGAAGCCAACGTAGCTTCCCCTCCTCTACAGCATAACCATAGACCTCCAGCTAGGAGGAAGCAACTCAGCCTAAGAAACCTAGATGGGGCAGCTGTTTAAAAAAAGAAAACGAAAGAGAAAGAAGTGATGCAGTCACTGAAATGAAGTGAGGGGGAGCTGTGCCTGTGTCCTGGCTCCCCGGTGAGTATTGGTGACACTACAGCCGGCCTGTCCCCAGCGCCCAGCCAAGGAAACCATCCCCGGAGCGAACGGCAACAGGCGCAAAGGGAGACCTGCTGCCCCGCGGCCCTGGCCCCTACCGGCCTGGGCACCAGCTGCGCTGCACTCCTGGCTTAAATGCCTTTTTTTGTTTGACTTTTTCCTTATTTTGCAATGGTGGTACCTGGCTTGCACTTCACAGCACAGCACGAACGCCGAGACGCAAAGCGGGGCTGCTCCAGAAACCTCCCTAGTGCAGCCTGAGCAGACCAAGCCCCCAGGGACGCTGCACCGCGGCTGCCCCCGGGTGACAGGAGGTGGGTTTTCAGCCCCCCTTTGCCCCCATGTTCTCCTGTGGGTCTGTAACATCCCTGTGTAGAGAGCCTGGGCACCACAGGAGCGGGCCTGCGCTCACCGGGAGCCTCATGCCAAGGAGGAATGTTGCTGTCCACCTGTGCCAGGCGCCTAGTGGTGCCAGCAAGGTTGTTGCCCACCCGCAACTGCCCCCAGGAACCCCAGCAAACGCCCTAGGAATTGCCCCTTCAGATAGAGCTCTTGCAGCTTGCGTTTGCTCTGCCCCAGGGAATGAAATACTGTGCTGCTTAGAAGCACTTTTTGGGGGGAAGAGGGACTTTAATATAGGGGAGACTTAGGGCCTTAAATTATTTGACTGCTACAATAATTAAAAAGAACTTTTGAAACTCACTTTAGTGCTAATGAAATGAGCCATTTGCAGCCCTTAGGAAACACTGTTTAAAGAAAGCGACAAGCAGTCCAACTTCCCTGCAAGCCCAGCTGTGGCCAGCGCTGCAGGGAAAGGGCAGAACGCAGATCCCGGCACCGGCCCTTGCCCCGTGCCGCTGCAGAGCCTTGCCGGGAACTCCAGGCCCCGACCCTGGCGCCAGCCGGGCTGGCAGCGGCCGCAGCCGCGAGCGGCTGGACCGGCTTCCTGCATCCGCGCCGCCCGCTCGGAGCAGCCGGGCTGACTTCCTGCAGCGGAGCGTCTCGGGGCCGCCAAGCGCTCGAGCGGCCGCAAGGGACTGGGGCAGGGCCTCGGGTCCACCTGGCTTGGGCATTTACCTAGCAGTGGGGCCCAGGCTTGGCTCCCACGCTGGTTTCGGGGCTGGAAAGTGCCCCGCTGGCAGCAGTGCGCCTGTCCCTACCCCTCGAGCTGAGCATCAGCAAAGTGCAGCGCACAGCCCCCCAGCTTGCAGGGCGTTTCCTCGCGTACTGAGCGGGCTGCCCACTGCCGCTCCTGACCGCTGCAGCTCGCAGCGGCCTTGCAGGCAGGGCCGTACTGCCGTCAGCCCCCGCGCCTGCAGCTCTAGCCCTTTGCAGCTTCAGCACTTCAGCTCCAGGACGGGCAGCAGACAGGGATAAAGTGGCGAAAGAACGGGTCAAAGGTAGACACTCTGTTAAGGTACAGTCCACGCAGGGACAGATATAGAGGCACTTTCGGGAAAGGGGTAAGCGACACGGGTGACACTCCCTCCCCGTGCTCTTTCACACGTACAAAGCTACTGCCGCTCCTCAGGCAGCTCTCTCCTCCGGCAGCGTGTCAGCGCGCAGCTCAGGGGCGTTCCAACATTCAGTTCAGGAGTCCCTTAATATACTTTATAATGGGGGCGGGAGGGGGAAGATCCATCTGCTAACTCACCCCTTTGCCACCTCCAAGGGGCCCGGGCCAGCCCTGACCGCAGGACTCCACATTCAGCCCAACTCCAGGCCACAGCCGACTGCCTTCAGCTGATGGAGCGTTCCTAGGGGAAGGACAGACGAGGGAGGAACACTGCAGACACGTGGGGAGAGGGATGGGCGAGAGGAGGCTCTTCCCGCCCTGGCAGATCGGCCCCAGGACAGCCCTGAGGCCTGCAGCGGTGCAGCTGACAACGCTCCATGGAAAGCAGCCACGGGCCAGGCGCTGCAGACTCACCCCCCGCTGCAAAAAGCGTGGCCCAAAGGTGCTTGCTTAGCTCGCGAGCCCCCCTCCTGCGCGCACGGCTCGGTACTGGCAACGGCAGCGTGTCTCAGAGCCCTGCTGGGCCCTTCTGTGCCCCCGACTCGTGCACAGGACAGACGGTAAATGTGCCCATCTCCTGCTCTGTCAGGGAAACAAGCCCTTCCAGCGGAGGCTGGAAAGAGGCGAGGGACAGACCCATCCCAATTCACTGCACACAGCAGCCCGTGCCCCACAGGAACAACTTTTGCGGAGAGTGTCCCCTGCCAATAAACCCTGCACCAACAGCTAGCCAGGCAAGCCGTGCACATCCCCGCAGGCCTGTGACACCAGGGGGAAGGGCACCTCTCCTCCCCACGGGCGAGCACTGCGGTGGGAGGGAACAGAAATCCTGCCCCCAGGCAGCTCTGGGCACCCCGCTCAGCAGGGCACCACCGCGAAAGAAATCAGCTCCGCTGCACAACAGCGCTGGCCTGCTCCCGTGCCTTAGGGCCCACCTGCTACCTACTGCACACCGGGAAAGGGCGGTCTGTGAGGCCCGGGAAAGCCCGGCACCCCTAAGCTGAGCGCCCTTCCACAGCAAAGTCTCCATGTGAGGGTCCTTTCTTCTCAGAATTCCCACAGCTCAAAAGCCAGGATGTTTTCTACATAATCCATTACAGAAAAAGCTTAAAACAAGAATTCCCTACAATCAGTCAGGTTCTTACCAACTTACCACCGGATAGGGATGTAAGAGGGAAAGGAAAACGGAGCAAGAGCAAGACCTCGAGCTAAATTGGAGAATGTGTTAAAATCTCTTCATTATCAGATCGCTTAGGAAACGGGCTCATTACAAGCAGCACAGCAGGTAAGGTTATATTTTTTAAAAGGAGCTTGTCTTTGTGCTTTGTGGAGAGCAAGCTGGCAGTAAGCGACCTCACGTTTCACCTTTTACATTATTCCAAGTTCCTTCCCACCTACCTCCATCTGCCCTAAGCCTCAGCGCCAGCTTAAACCCTCTGGGATGGTCAGTGATTTTCCCTGGGAAACCCACGATCTTGTGCACAGGGAAAGCTGCAGCACAGGGACAGCCACAGCGGCGCCCCGTGAAGCTGAACCTGGCGCAACCGGCACGTACGGCCACACTTGAAAGGCTTCCCTTCGGAAGCTGTGACCGCGGGAAGCAGGAGGGATGAGCTTCTTCCGGAGCGGCTTTCTCAGCGTTTGTGAATCTCTAAGTTGGGCTGGTTACAGGTTCAGGGCTGCAAACGAAACCGCGCTGAACAGCACTCAGGGTCAGGCCAGGAACAGGCAACAGAGGAGATATTTAATGCTGTTTTGTTAGTTATTAGAATCCAGTCCTTGACGCGCCAAGGATTCCGTCACAGCCTAGGACTAGATACACTCTGTGCTTAACTTGTGAGAGACGACAGAGACTGCAGCATGATGCAGGACAAAACAGCATCCACCTTTGTGCTCCACAGGCGCCTCCCTTCGCGTAGCCTTGCCCCTCCTGGCTGCACCCGCTCCTATCCAAGCGCCTACGAGGAGGGCAGGGGTCCCTGGGTCCCCGGCGGCGGGGCAGGGGCTCCCGGGCAGCTCCTGCCGCCCCACACGGGCTGCTCGGACGCCCCACACGCGCCGGGCAGGGCGGCTCCGGGGCTGCCGGGAGGTGGGAGCGGGCGCCCTCCCTCCGGCGCCGCGAGGGGAGCCGCGAGGTGGCGGGGAGCAGCGCGGTACCTGAGAGGACGGCGAGACAACGCGGGGCAGGGCGGCCTCTCGCTGTGGGGCAGGGCGGCCTCTCGCTGTGGGGCAGGGCGGCCTCTCGCTGTGGGGCAGGGCGGCCTCTCGCTGCGGGCTTGGCGCTGCACGGGGAGGCCGCGGCAGAGCAGAGCACAGCACTGGGCGACAGCTGCGCGCGCCGGGCGGCAGCCGGCGCTGCCCTTCCCCGGGGGACTCCAGTTCCTGGCGCGCGAGCACCCCTTGCTGCAGCGCCTGCACTTGAGTTCTTAAGTTTGCAGATTTT